AGGAGAAAAGCAGGATGAAGGTCGAAGGAGCAACGGGGAAAGCAGAAGGGGGAGTGGAAGCATACGGAGGGGAAAGACAGGGAAAAACATAAATCTGACGGGCAGGAGGATGAGGCAGGAAGCAGTAACATGGTCAGAAGAAAGAAGAAAGAGGAGAAGAAAGTGGAGATAAAGACACAGGAATGGCGCTCAATTTCTACATAGAAAAGTAAGGGTTTCTTTTAACGTATGCGCTTTTTTGAAATGTATACACAGTCGCCGGACTCGTCAGCATTTGCGTTGGCACTGAAACTGACGGAGGAGTGTTCGAGAAGTTAACAATGACTATTACGTAAAATTCAGCATAGTTAGGCACTCAAACGTTTACACTGCAAAACTCTTAAACCCTTCTCGAAAAACGATGGCTTTGTTGTTGCTGGGAGCCTTACTGATGCGAGCTTATGGCAGATCTGCTCAAATTAGAGTCCTGTCATTCGGTCTTCATCTGGGCGTTTTGAGGTCAACGAAAATAGCACATACACAGTCACGCAAGTATTGACGCACACATCATGCTCCACCCTGGCGGCGTTGCAAGCTGCGACGTGGCTACGGATGGTGTCAAGTTAGCGTGGCAGCGTGCTTTCTGCTGAATACGACGTCGTCTCTTTAGAAGACGAATAATATGCGGTTCACCAGTGATTGTCAGCAAAGGGACTACTGGTTTATGTTACGCCCGAGATATTATGTCATAGCATCGCAAATTCAATTGATAAGGGATGCACGAAGGTGCGTAATAATGCTGAACACTAAAATGCCTCCGGGTTCAACTGGGCATAATTGAATTTCCAGATAAGCAACCTTCTCATGAGTCTATTAGACCATTGAAGGCGAGATAGCTCGACGAATTTCAATGACTGTGTCGGAGATCGAGCTCCTAGAGACTCTCTGAGGGCAACACTTTTTAACAAGGCTCTTTTGTGCTAAGAGAGACTGGAAGAATAATCAGTAAGTGAGACCTTTTACGAACAGAGTCAAGGGGCGTAGGCATATTCACTTACGGTTTATTGTTCTTCATCGTCCAGCTATATCTCATTCCCAGAAGAGAATAAATGAGAAGGTACAATCTGGATCAATTAACTTGGCAGCATACGTCCGGATCGGATGTTTTGTCATAAAAAGCGTGGATTTCACGACTGCACTCTGATTGCAGAAGGATAACTAGTATGGGGTAGA